GAAGTCAAGTTCTCCACAATTTGGTCCATGTCTCTTGGCCTCCAGTCCCATCATTCCACACTTTAACAGCGGCTGCTGTTTTCTGGCTGCTGCTACACTGTACCAGATACTCTGCTTCTTGTTGTTGTTGTTAGTTGCTGTCAAGTCACTTAGGACTCACGATGACCCCCATGCGTGTACAGTAGGTTTTCAAGGCTGTGACTTTTCAGGAGCAAATTGCCAGGCCTGTTTATCTCACCAAGCACCTCTGCGTGGGCTTGAACCACCAACCTTTCAGCTAGTAGTTGAGTCCTTAAGGGTTTGCACCGCCCATAGACTCCTACCCACTCCAGCAAGTGTTTTCTGTCTATTAACTTGCCTCCCTTCTGGAAAGAGCAGTGTGAGGTAGGCCTTATTATTGCCCGTATTTCACTGGTGATGAGGCCAATGCTCAGAAAGAAGGGAACTTACCTAGGACACACAGCTAGTATCGGGAAAAGCCGGTTTCCATCACAGGACTGTGGCACGCCCTTATATACGATGGCCTCTGGGGCCCTGGCTATGGACAGCAGTCTGTGGACCAGTGCTCCTGTATGACATGGGAGCTTGTTTGAAATGCCCCATCTCAGGCTGTTCCCCAGACCTACTGACCCAGAATCTGCATTTTAACCAGATCCCCCAGGTAATTACCATTAAGTCTCAGAAGCACGGTCATGAATGATTTTCTACCAGCCAGACCCTTGTGCCAATTAAGTCAGATATATGCTCTTATCACTACAACAACCTGAGAGGTTATCCCATTTTTTAGATAAGGACACTAAAGCTCTGAAAGTTTAAACCAAACCAGTTGCTATGAAGTGGATTCCAATTCACAGCGCCCCTAGAGGACAGAGTAGAACTGCCAAGAGGGTTTCATCTTTATGGAATCAGACTGCCTGAGGCTGATGGGTTTGAGCTGTCAACTTCTGGTTAGCAGCCGAGTACTTAACCACTGCACTCCCAGGGCTCCTCTGAAAGATTGTTGTTGTTGTTGTTATTTGCCGTCGAGTCGCCCCCGACTCATAGCGACCCCTCCTTGGGTTTCCGAGGCAGTATCACTACGGAAGTAGGATTGCCCAACCTTCCTTCCGAGGAGTGGCTGGTGGGTTTGAACCGCCAGCCTTCTGGTTAGCAGTCAAGTGCTTTAGCCACTATGCTACCAGAGCTCCTGAAAGATTAAGTATCTTAAAATGAACCCACGTGTGCCTGTTGCCAGTCCTACCCTACTCCCTCTGCCTGGAACATCTTCACTCTTTTTCCTCTCCTTAAGTCTGTCCACTCAAGATCACTTCCTACCAGGGGAGGCTTTCTTATCCACATCCCACTGGACAGAATAATTGCTTCTTCTACCAGAGTACCCACAGCACCCTACACATACCTTTCTCTTGGCCCAAATCCATTCTTTTATGTAAGAAACGTGTACTTAGCACCGATGGTTTGTTGAACCAATTTGCTCTCAAAGCATTTCTGACTGCGTTTCTGAAAGCACTTTCATCACACGTGTGTTATCCTCCTCTGCATTTGTTCATCTGTTCCCTGAGCTCCTCTGTGTCCCCAGGGCACAGGCCCTGCCATCCTGAAGGGCCTCAATTCATTAGGAAACAAATTAAATGCTCTCTTGTCTACAGATGTCATTTCTTTATACTTTACAGTGTTACCAGTAAGGCCTTCCAATTCCCAAGGGTAGAAAAGGACACACAGGTCAAGTAAAGTGCACCCTGCTGGACACCAGCCCAATCTTAGGACTGTCACAGAATGCAGAACTCACTCTCATTATGAAATTGGCAGATATCTCTAAATCCAGCCTTCTCATTCTTCCAGGCCATCAAAGGCAGGCCCTGAAATTTTAGGCAACCTCTTCAAATCCCCTAACATTAACAAAGAAAAGAAATTCAAATGGCCAACAAGCCCATGAAAAGATGCTCAACATAATTGGTCATCTCTGTTCGGTGCTACTGAGTCAGTTCTCAACTCATAGTGACTCCATGTGACAAAGTGGAATTGCCCCCCGGGGTTTTCTAAACTGTAATCTTTACAGGAAGTGATCACCACATCTTTCTTCCATGGAGGCACTGGGTGGGTTCCAACCACCAATCTTTAGGTTGGCAGCCAAGAGTGCTTAACTGTTTGTGCCACCAGGCCTCCTTTTATTTGTCATTAGAGAAATGCAATTCAAAACCACAGGTACAGGGAAGACAGTAACTGAGATAGCACAATTCCTCTGAGATCCTCATGTCACACAGCATCTCTCTGCCCCCATCTCTGCTTGCTCACTTGCTTGCTTAATGTCTTTCATATCTCAAAGGTGATTGTCTTAAAACACACCCAACACTGATACGGCCTCTTGACATAACAAAGAAAACCCATTCCCAAATGGGATTATAACCATAGGACTAGGGATTAGGATTTATAACACATATTTCGGGGGTACACAATTCAATCCATAACACATACAGTGTGAATATTACTATTACGACACATATTTCGGGGGTATACAATTCAATCCATAACATATACAGTGGAATATTACTCAGCCATCAAGAGAAATAAAGTCCTGATATATACAACATAGATGAATCTTGAAAACATTATGCTGAGTAAAATAGTCAGTCAAAAAAGGACAAATATTATACAATTCCATTTACATGAAATATCTAGGATAGGGAAGTATCTAGAAACCAAAGTTTATTAGGAGGGTTTCTAGAGTGGGCAGGACACTGATCTACTATTAAAGGTGATGGAAAATTTTGGGAATGGTTAAATGACATGATGAAAGGATGCTACTGAATTGTACATCTGGTGGCATAGTGGTTAAAGCATTTGGCTACTAACCAAAAAACCAGTAGTTCAAATCCACCAGCCACTCTGTGGGAGAAAGATGAGGCAGTCTAGTTCCATAAAGATCACAGCCTTGGAAACCCTACGGGGCAGTTCTGTTGTTGTTATGTGCCATCGAGTCTGACATGACTCATAGCAACCCCTCCTTGGGTTTCTGAGGTATCTCTACGGAAGTAGATTGCCCAACCTGTCTTGAGGAGTGGCTGGTGGGTTTGAACTGCCAGCCTTCTAGTTAGCAGTCAAGTGCCTTAGGCGGTACGCCACCAGAGCTCCTACGGGGCAGTTCAACTCTATCCTAAAGGGTTGCTTTGAGTCAGAATCGACTTCACAGCAGTGGGTTTGATTTGTATTGTACATGTGAAGATTGTCAAAATGGCACGTTTTCTTCCCAAATATTTACCACACACACAACTTCCCTGGGGCTGAAACCAGGTTCCCAGTATCCTTTTACAAGAAAGTACACAGGTGACTGTGATGAAAGGGAAAGATCCCCACTACATGGAGTCCAGGAGTCCGGATTCTGCCTCTGCTGTACAGGGAACCTGGGCAGAAGGCGTTCCTCTAGGCCTCAATTTCCTCGTCTGTGAAATGAGGGGGTTGCACTGGTTTCCAAGGCTCCTTCCAGCTCTAAGACGCTGTGGTATAAAATGAGAAATGTGAACTTTTGGTTGCTATGATCTGAAAATATTTTGAATGTGGAGAAGCAAATTGTACAGCAGCACATGAACAAAATAATATGTTAATGACTAAGAAGATTGTATTTAATCCAATGAGAAACAGCAGAGCTGCCGCGCCGCTAGTGTGTGTCAGCACATGAGGCTTCCTTCCCTGAGCTCAAACATGTATTTTTAAATCACTAATATAGTCATAGCCTCCCTGCCCAAACACACAGACACACACACACACACACCACTTCAGACTAAAATGGGAGAAAAAAATCCCACCGTAGCTGCTTATATCCTTTCTGTGATCGGTTGGCTTTAATTTTGTCCTTTCGTTTTTGAAGAAATTTTGATAGTGGTCAAGGTATTGGATTGACAGTCCCTGGAGGCCTCTAAGGAGCTCTGGTGGCTTAGTGCCTAAGGAATTTGTCTGCTCACCAGAAGGCTGGTGGCTCAAACCCACCAGCCACTCCTCGGAAGGAAGGTTGGGCAATCCTACTTCCCTAGTGATACTGCCTCAGCAACCCAAGGAGGGGTCACTATGAGTCAGGTCCGACTCCATGGCAGTGTGTTTGGGTTTTTTTTGGTTTGGAGGCCTCTAATCTCAGAACTGGGAGCTCTGGTAGCATAGTGGCTAAGGCACTTGACTGCTCACCAGAAGGCTGGCGGTTCAAACCCACCAGCCACTCCTCGGAAGGAAGGTTAGGCAATCTACTTCCGTAGTGATAATGCCTCGGCAGCCCAAGGAGGGATCGCTATGAGTCAGGGCCGACTGGATGGCACTAACAACAACAATCTCAGAACTGGGACCCAGGCGGTGAGCCGGGGTTTCACTAGCATTTCCCGCTCACACACCAACAGCCCCCTCCCCAGCCCTCGTAATCTGTCCAGCCACCGCCAGCTGGGCGAGCACTCGGACCCCAGAGCCTCGACTGCGGATGGTCAGATCGGAGGCTTTAGGGGACCCTA